CCCCCCCCCCCCCCCACACAGGACTTCAAACCAACCACACCCACTGCTAAAACTCCCATCTTCTCCTTCTGTCCCCTGAAGTATCAAAACATCTCCTCTCCAGCCATCCTACAACATGCCATCTATCCCCAATCCCCTCACACCTTCTCCAAGCAATCTCTCCTATACTTTTACAAGCACTCACACACATCATCAACACATCTTTCCTCACAGGCACCTTCCCCACTGCATTCAAACAGACTCGGGTAACCCCACTTCTCAAAAAACCTACATTAAACACTTCACTTACAGATAGCTACAGACCTGTCTCTCTCCTTCCATTCATAGTGAAAAGCCTCGAAAGAGTTGTTTTCAACCAGGTATCATTGTTTCTTTCACAGAACAACAAACTGGACGTTAACCAGTAAGGCTTCAGGAGTGGCCATTCAACTGAGACTGCGTTACTGTCAGTCATGGAAGCCTTGCGGATTGCAAAAGCTGATTCCAAATCATCAGTTCTTATTCTGCTGGATCTATCTGCTGCTTTTGACACTGTAAATCATCAGATCCTCCTGTCTGCCCTCTCTTCACTAGGCATCACAGGGATTCCACTTCGCTGGTTTGAATCCTATCTCACTGGTAGGTCTTTCAGGGTGTCTTGGGGAGGGGAGGTATCCAAAGTACATCAACTGGTCACTGGGGTTCCTCAGGGATCAGTTTTTGGACCCCTCCTCTTCTCCATATACACTACATCACTGGGTCCCTACCATTGCTATGCTGATGACACACAGCTCTATCTCTCATTTAAACCAGATGATCCAATGGTAGCTGCACAGATCTCAGGCTGCCTGGCGGACATCTCGGCATGGATGAAAGAACATCACCTTCAGCTCAACCTGGCAAAGACTAAGCTTCTTGTCTTCCCTGCCATTCCAACTCTACAGCATGATTTCTCCATCCAGCTAGGTTCTTCTACAATTACCCCATCAACTTCAGTCAGAAGTCTTGGTGTAACCTTTGATGACCAGCTGACCTTCAAAGACCACATTGCAAAGACCGCTCGATCTTGTAGGTTTGCATTGCACAACATCAGAAAGATCAGGCCCTTTCTAACGGAGCATGTTGCACATCTTCTGTCCAGGCCCTTGTCATTTCTAGGCTGGACTACTGCAATGCTCTTCTGGCTGGACTTCCATCAAGCACAATCAAACCTCTACAAATGATTCAGAATGCAGCGGCACGACTGGTCTTCAACGAGCCCAAAAGAGCCCATGTTACACCTCTCTTTATCTCCTTGCACTGGCTACCTGTTGCAGCTCACATTAAGTTCAA